CCTACTATACTACCTCTCTCTCTCTCTCTCTCTCTCTCTCTAAATTATTTTTCCACGATAAACGTTGCGCGATATCGTTCGTTTCCGATCCAAGAAAACACGTTCCAATATCCCCTCCCTCCCCCATTTTCATCCAATATCCGCGTAATTCCGTCTCGGAAAGAACGAGAGAAGCCATCGTCCCCCGATTTCCCTTCTCGTCAAAGCGAATAAGCAACGACAACGAACGAAGGACTGGAAGAATTCACTCGAGGATCAAAACAATCTTTATCGTCAAACCGTGGATCTTTCGAACGAGCCACCCTTACCTGTAGATCCTCGTCGGTGAGGTTGACCCATGCCTCCTCGGAGGTCAATCCGAGCATGAGGTCTCGATCGCCGAAATTGGCGAACTCGGTTCCAGGGCCGGGAACCAGGGGCATCAGGCCCGACGAGGAGGCGGTTGGCTGGAAATTCTTCGCAACAAAAACAAAAAATTCGTTTGTCGTATGAACGATCGTCGATCGATCTTCCTCCTCTCTCTCTCTCTCTTTGTGCGGGCAATCAAGTCGACGAAAGGGAAGTTGCGGACAAGTATCGATCGAGGTACGATTGCAGGTAGGTCGTCGGTGGTTAATTGCAATTACACCGTGTACTTTATGGCTTTTAATTAAAAGTTGGCCGACGACGAGCAATCTTGCCGATGCACTCTCTCTCTCTCTCGATCGATCGATCGATCGATTTTCGAAAAGGAAGGGAGGAGGAAAGAGAGGGAAAGAAAGGAAAAGATCGATTAACGAGGAGGAGACGCGAGGAGCGTTGGAACTTAATACCAGAGGCTGTTCCATCGCTCGACATCTGTCAGTCGGTTGTCGGTTCAATTAACAAACTCATCGCTTACACGTGTCGTCTCCTCGTCCATTGGCGAGGATTGTGCGCGAGTCGACACGCCTCGTGATTTTCGACAGATTCTCTTTTTTATTTTTCTTCCTTTCTTTCTTTTGCAGAGAGATTATTGGCAATTCGATAGGTTCGCGAATTTTTTAATTTCGATCGAACGAATTTTTTGGACAAGTTAATTCATCGATACACTCGAATTACTCGATTTTATCGCATTCCTTGTACTTGTTCTTTCCAACGAGATTCCATTTCAACGTCGGAACTATTTACTTTCGGGAAAATATTGCTTGCAATAAAACTGTTCCTTCTGCTTAGATTCCGTCCCTCCAGTATAGCAGGAGGACGATAATACAACGATAAAATAAAGGAAGCGGAAACAAGAAGTAGACAGATAAAAGTTTCATCCCTCTCGATGACACACCCTTCTCGTAAAGAGAAAAATATATTTCCTATTGGGTCATAACTGCCCGACTCCCAGCTCTATTAATTCTCCATGGTGAAAGAAATAACTTGTCGCTCGCGCGTAAAAAAGAAGGAACAAGAGGTTTTTCTTTTTCTTTTTTTTTTTTTTTTTTTTTTACGAACGTGCGGATCGTACCTGATTGATCGGCGGAGGCATGACCGCCCCATCGACGAAAGGAGCGAATCCAAAGGTGAATCTCGGCGGGTCCAAGTGCACGGCGAGAAGCTCCTCCAGAGTGCGCAAACGAAGGCACGGTGCGATATCGTCAGCCTCGACGTTACCAGGGCATCCGGTCTGTTCGGCGACGTGATGTTTCACATTTAACGGGTCACGCTGTATGGCCCAGGGTGACAGGGCGGAACCGCCCAGCAATACCACTCTCTCGACCAACTCTGCGATCAAATGAAACGCGTGCCTCCATTTCAACCGATATATACCCACTTCCACGTATTTTAGAATCCTCGAGTTCGCCCCCTCCTTTTTTTTTCTTTTTAATTTTGTCAATGTCTACCGTTCGCGTTTCGATCTCGATATTTTTTTAAATTTTAGAATACGATGATTCGTCGTTTACTTTCGATTTCGATTGTTTTCGATTTTTAGAAACTTTGGGTTCGTCTTTTTTTTTTTGAATTTTATTATCCATCGTTCCCGTTTGATTTCGGTATTTTTTAAATTTTAAAATACGATGATTCGTCGTTTACTTTCGATTTCGATTGTTTTTAGAAACTTTGGGTTCGCCATTTTTCCGAATTTTACAATATTCATCGTTTACATTTTTAGAATCTTTCAGTTCGCCTTTTTTTATTTGAATTTTATTATCCATCGTTCGCGTTCGATTTCGATATTTCTTTAAATTTTAGAACACGAGGATTCGTTGTTTTTACTTTTTGTGAATTTTACAACACGATCCACCGGATTCGCGTCCGATATTTCTCAAATTCTAGAATCCGATGACGATGACAACTGAACGCGAACCATCGATTCGTCTCGCGAGGAGCGCTCGCGGCGTGGAAGGGTAAAAACGCATTGTGGACGAGGGCATTAAGGACGAGGCGAAGGGTGGGTTCGTTAGCGGAATGGAGGCGCAATCTAGAAACGCGACCATGTTCACGGGCTGTGTTACCCTTATTCTCCTTATTCTCGCGAGGAAGGCTACACTCGAGGAAGCTTGTTAAAGTCTCTAGTGGCCGTCGTCGACAACCAACACGGCGATGACGCCGAAGAATATCCCCTCGACTCTACCCTCCCAACAAGAATATCCTGACACAACTCGAAACATCGAATTATCATCCAGCAGATGAAAGTAACGCTCGCTGCTGGAAACAATTGTCGCTGAGAGGAGAATACCTTCTTCGCCTAGGACCTTCGCTGATTGTGGAATAGCTACGATTTGAATGTATTCAAAATTATTCTCATCTATCAAATTGCTATCATTTTCGAAACTATTATCCACTATGTATTATTATCATCCCAACTACTCGAATCATTATTCGAGTATTGCGAGAAATAAAAAAATTTGTATATCACATCGATTAGAATTCTCTGGATTCTGTGCAATAGGCGTTTCCAGCAGCGGGGAACAGTGGCCGTTCCTCGAAACGACGTATTCTCATCTCATGTAGCATAGAACGTATACGGCGAACAACTTTCGAACACACGAGTTTCCAAGGGGTCGAAAGTTTACAAGGGGTCGTGTTACCTTTCACCATGGGCGAGACGGCTAAAAAATTGGCAAGCGCCGCTCCTGTGCCGTAGCCAAACAGCGTGAGCCGGTCGGGGTCACCGCCGAAAGCGCCAAGATTCTCGTGTAACCAGTGAAGCCCTGCCACCAGATCCATCAACCCGTAATTCCCTTGCGCGCTTCCCTTCGGGCCTGTTTTCAGAAAGCCTGAAACCCAAACGAATTAACAATTTTACAAAATAAATAATAAGAAAAAATAATCCAAGAATTGATTTTACGCGTTGAAAAAAATCAAGAGGAAACTTGCTACTTGGACGCGAAAGCAGCCACGTTGTCGTATTCCTTCTTCAAATTTCCTCTCGTTGCGTGCAAAAACTCGCCCAACTTTTCGCCTTATTTCCACGTTTTCCACGAATTCGTGAAAATATCACAAAGATCAGATAAGTTTTAATTTCTTATTGGCGGGCGTAAACCGATCCTTCTTCCCCTCTTGGCGAACGAAGCAACGTTTTACGAGAGGCTTCGAAGATAAACTCTCTCGCGGCCGCCTATTGCTCTAGAAATTGCCACGGTAAGGCGGTTAAAAGAGTTCTCGAGAGAGAGAGAGAGAGAGAGAAAAAGTATTGAAGTATCTCCTTTTTCGCTGAGACACGATGTTTTAAAGAAAGAAAAAGAGCTCTGGCGCGAATTATTTCGCATTTTTTCCTGATACTTACACGATTAACCGTAAATGAAGCGAATATAAATATATATGGAAGATCCTCGTTGCCGATTTTTAAGTACTTTCAGTACTTAACGCTTCTGTCACTACTCACTCCGAGCAAGTAGAATTTACTTACCACTCGTTACTTCCTACGATAATAACGAAACGTGTAACATTCATCCATATATATATATATTAATATTAATATATGCACAATTTCAATTGCGATAATCGTTTTATCAAAATTATAGAATATTAAAACTTATCGTCTAAAATCTTATTTATTTAACCTTTCTTATCGATCGATATTTAAAAGAAAACATTGTGAATCTCTTTCTCGCGTTCCTTTTTTCGTTTC